CCTCTGCCTCCCGGGTTCAAGCGATTCTCCTGCCTCAGCCTCCCTGGTAGCTGGGATTACAGGCTTGTGCCACCATATCCGGCTCATTTTTGTATTTTTAGTAGAGACGGGGTTTCACCATGTTGGCCAGGCTGGTCTCGAACTTCTGACCTCAGGTGATCCGCCCACCTCAGCCTCCCAAAGTGCTGGGATTACAGGCGTGAGCCACCACGCCTGGCATTAAATCTTTTTAAAGTATGATATATGCTAAGTGAAGTAAGCTAGATGACTCCACTATATGACTCCACATATGAGGTACCTGAAATAGTCCAATTCACAGGGAAAGAAGGAAGAATGGTGGTTACAGGGGGCCAGGAAAGGAGAGGAATAGGGGCTGTTGTTTAATGGGTATGGAGTTTCGGTTTTGCAGGATGAAAACAGGTCTGAAGGCTGCCCAACAACGTGAATGTACTTCAAAGTATTAATTTGTATGCTTAAAAAACGGTTATAATGCTAACTTTTATGTTACATGTATTCTACCACAATTAAGTTTTGTTTGTTTTTTGTTTTTTGTGTTTGTTTGTTTTTTTTTTGAGACGTAGTGTCGCTCTATTGCCCAGGCTGGAGTGCAGTGGCACGATCTCAGCTCACTGCAGCCTCCGCCTCCCGGGTTCAAGCAATTCTCCTGCCTCAGCCTCCCGAGTAGCTGGGATTACAGGTACATGCCACCACACCCGGCTAATTTTTGTATTTTTTGTAGAGAGAAGGGGGTTTCACCAGGCTGGTTTCGAACTCCTGACCTCAGATGATCCGCCCACCTTGGCCTCCCAAAGTGCTGGGATTACAAGCACGAGCTATCGTGCCTGGCCCACGGTTAAAATGTGTTTAAGTACAATATATCGCAAACATACAAAATCAAAATCTACTCCTACACAGTCATATGCAGACATCGGGATAAAAACACTGTCTTATAACATCAGGCAGTTTCCAAAATTATAAAACAGCTAACCAAAGTCACAACACAGGCACGGTTGTAAGAGAAACCATCGGATTCATCAACTGCATTTTAGACTGAAACGAGGAAGAATGTCTCCCTCCACGCTAACAAAACAAATAAGAAGCAGAAGAGGCCAGCGCGGGAGCTCATGCCTGGAATCCCAGCACTCTGGGAGGCCGAGGCGGGCAGATCACTTGAGGTCAGGAGTTCAAGACCAGCCTGACCAACATGGCAAAACCCTGTCTCTACTAAAAATATAGGCGCACATCTGTAATCCCAGCTACTCGGGAGGCTGAGGCAGAAGAATCGCTTGAACCCAGAAGGTGGAGGTTGCAGTGAGCTAAGGTCACACCACTGCACTCCAGCCTGGGCAACAAAAGTGAAACTCCATCTCAATTAAAAAAAAAAAAAAAAAATCCGTAAACAGGACTGCTAAGGCTGTTCCTGCCTTCTCCACTCCATGCTGCCTTCTGCCTGGGGCTCCGTGACGCGTGGAGTCGG